CCTTTTAAACAAATGGTGTTGGCAAAACTGGAAAACTATCTGTAGAAAACTCAAACAAGGTCCACACCTCACTCCACATGCAGAAGCCAACTCAAAGTGGATCAAGGACCTAGGACTAAAACCAAGGACTATAAACGTCATTAAATAAAAGCTTGGAAGAACTCTAGAAGCACTAATCCACAATATGAACAGCCTTCCAAGCATCCTGAAAAATCTACAACCCGGAGAGGATAAAATAGATGAATGGGACTTTCTAAAAATTAAATCCCTATGCACATCCAAAAAGTTCTCCAATAGGGTAAAAAGGGAAGCCACAGACTGGGAAAAAAATATTTGGTACTGACATGTCAGATAAGAGACTTATATCTAAAATTTATAAAATACTCGAGCACCACACAAGATAAAGAATCCAATTGAAAAATGGGCACAGGATATGGACACCACCAAAGAAGACATTCAGATGCTGAACACATGAAGAAATGTTCAAAATCCCTAGCTCTAAGAGAGATGCAAATCAAAACAAGTATGATACATCATCTCACCCCAGTTAATAGCAAAATTTAACAGAAAGCATGGACTCTTGTAATATATCATTTCAGATGTCATTTAATCCTAAATACAGTGAAGGTTTAAATATATCCATTACTATAGGTGGTTAAAATGAGTTTATATTAATAATGTCAAAGAATTGTTAGCCTAGTGGATGTCATCTACATGGATACTGATGTCATCAAAATTATAATTGGACTTGAGCTGGAGAAGTGTGACAGGTGCCAAAAAAACAGAAAAGGGAGGGATGCTATTTAATTCACTGTTGTATCACTGGCGACTGTTATACTCTTGTTGTTAGGAGCTGTTCAGTCTAGTTGAGTCTGACTCACAATGACTCTATGAACAACAGATCTGAAGCTTGTTCTATCCTGTGCCATCCTCACACTTCCTGACACACGAGAGCCCAAAAAAGCAGTCACTGTGTCAATCTACCTGGTCAAGGCTCTTCCTCTCCTTTGCCAATCCTCCACCCTTCCAAGCATGATGCTCCTGTCCAAGCAACAACCCTTCCTAGCAACAAGCCTGAAGTACGTGAGGTAAAGTCTCATCACCCTTGCCTCTAAAGAGCACTCTGGCTGCACCCCCTTCAAGACATATTTGTTTGTTCTTTTGGCCGTTCAAGGGATGTTCAGTGCTCTTGTCCAGTGCCACAGTTCAAAGGAATCAATTCTTCTGTAATCGCTAATCATTGTCCAGCTCTCAGATGTACAGCAAGTAATCAGAAGGACCATGGCCTGAGTCAGACGCACCTCAGTCCTCAAACTGTCATCATTACTTCACAATAATTTGCATTTTCATAATCATTGCTCCTGCATGCTGCATAGTATTCCAACATGTGAATGTACCATTATTTCTCAGTCCATTTGATTGTGGTTGGACATACGAGCTGTTTTCATGCTCTTGTGATGGTGAACAATGCTGCTATGAACACTGGTGTACAAGTCTCTGTTTCTGCCTCAGTTCTCACTTTCTTGAGGTATATTCCAAGCAGTGAAATAACTGAGCCATATGGAATTTCTATGTTTAGCTTTTTGAGGAAATACCAAACTGCCTTCCAGAGAGGTTGTATGATTTTACAATCTCACCAGCAATGTATAAGGGTTCTATCTCTCCACATCCTGTCCAATATGTATTACTTGCTACCCTAGTTAAACTCTGCCACCGTTACTGGAGTGAGATAGTATCTCATTGTGGGTTTGATTTGCATCTCTCTTATTTCCAGTGATTTGGAGCATTACTTCATCTGTCTATTGACCATACAATTATCTTCCTCTGTAAAGAGTCTTTCCATGCCTTTTGCCTATTTTGTAATTGTGTTATCAGGTTTTTTTTCTTGTGGAGGCTCTATAGGAGTCTATAAACTTGAGAGGTATGTGGACATCATTATGTTAACTAAACTAACTCAGTCCCATAGGACAAATACTGTCTAAGACCATTAATGCAGAAATAGAAAGATTACCAGTAAAACGGGTATGAGCATCCAAGGGGGGGAGGGTAGGAGCAGAGGGGTGAGGATGGGCAGGGGATAATCATACGGTCGCACAATCTGATGGGTAGAGGGAAGGGGTGGGTAAAGGAAATTGGAAACATTCGGTATGAAAAACAATGTACATGGACTTTGTAAGCAAACCAGTATAAAATTTAAAAACATATTTAAAATATTGGGGAAAAGAGGGGGAAAAATAATTTAGAGAAATCCCTAACTGCAGATTTTCCAAGTGCAATGCATCTCCTTGTTTTCTAACTGCTGGTACCAAGGGTGTTAATTGTGGATCCAAGTATGATGATACTGTTGACAGTTCCAATCTCTTCTCCATACATCATGATGTTGACTATTGGATCAGTGTTAAGAATCTTTGTTTTCCATTACAATGTACAGACTATTGACAGACTATCTTTTAGTGAGAAAGACCAACTGAGCTGACAGCCTAATTCCTGACAGCCATGCACACAGAGAGTCCATAAGGTAGCAAAACTAGGAAGAGAAATTAGGAAGTCAAGTTTTCAAAGAGCTGACAAAAATGCAACTGCATGTGAAAAACGATGACTTCAGAACCTCAAAATAAACATCCACAACTAAAGATACACATCATTTTAGCTCATTTTTTAAAAAATGCATAATGCATATTTTATGGTGTGAATGGGTTTTTCATTTGATTGTTTTAGTTTATAAATCAACTTAACTGTAAGAAAATACTAAAAAGTGTTGTTTCCTCAACCATTAGACAGTAGATTCTCCAGGCAACAAATAATCATTTAAGGGGTAAACAAATACCGTATTACATACTAATAATCATATACACTAGATATTATAGCTTCTCTTTAATCTTTCATTGTGAATAAACATGACTCGGGATGGAGTGACTTCCAAAGGAATAATCATATGACTACTACTGGAGTAGAAATGATGTAACTTTCAGAATGACAAGTGCAAAATAACAATCTGTTGGAACTCTGTATGTACCAATATCACGATATGCTTCTCTGAAGACATTATACAAAAAACATAAGGCTGATGATATTATAAACAAATGTTGTTATTGTTGTTACATCATCGAGTTGCCTGCAACTCATAGCAATCCTATGTCCAATAGCCCTAAACCCTGCTCTATCCTGTGCCAATCTTATTATCTCTGACACACTTAGCCCCATTACCCCAGTCACTGAATCAATCTTCCTCTCCTGCACTGTCCCTCCAGCCTCCCAAGAATGATGTCCCTCTCCAAGGACTAGTCCCTCCTTGCAACATGTCCAAAGTATGTCAGACGAAGCTTCAAAAATACTACCTCCAAGGAGCAGCCTGGTTTCACCCTCTAGGATGAACCTGTTCATTCTCTTAGCAGTCCATGGTATATTCAATACTTTTCTCCAACACCGCAGCTCAAAGGCATCAATTCTCCTTCTATTATCCCTAGTCATCTGGAGAGCAATGATGCCAGTCTGGAGACTATGGCGCACCTGATACAGGACATGGTCTTTGCAATCACTTGCTATGTATCAGAGAGTTGGACAATGACTATAAACAAATATACATGAAAATAGTTTTTAGCAAAATTTTAGAAACTATCCATTCTTCTTTTTTAAATCAAATATTTATTTATAAGATTATTCACAATATTTTTATTTCCATTCATTCATTGTTGCCCTTTTCTCCCTGTCCAACCTCCTGCGCACCCCAGTTAGCTCTTCTCTTTGAAAAATAAAATTTTTTTCATTGTTATACAAAATTTTTTTCATTGTTTTACAATCTCTCCCAAGTCCACTCCACTACGTAGCCTTTGTTCTGGACTCCTGTCATGACAATAATACCTAATCATATATCCCTTTAAACAGTTTTCTCCAACTTTTTCAATGCAGTATACATTATTTATCCCATCTTTCTCAGTCTCCCCCTACCCTGATCTCAGTCCCGTTTTACAACAGTGGCACTATGCAGTATTTGTCCTTTTGTGTCGGAAATATTTCACTCAGCATAATGTCCTCCAGGGTCAACCATTTGTATATTTCATGAGTTCCTTGTTTTTCAATGCAGCGTAGTATTCCATTGTGTGAATATACTACAGCTTCTCTATCCATTCATTTGTTGATGGGCACTTAGGTTGTTTCAGACTCTTTGCTATTGTGAACAAAGCCGTAATAAACATGTGTGTGCATATATCTGCTTGGGTGGCGGTAATGGTTTCTTTGGGGTATATTCCCAATAGTGGAATTGCTGGGTCAAATAATATTTCTATTTGCAACTTTTTTAGAAAGTGTCAGACTACCTTCCATAGTGGTTGCACCATTTTACACTCCCACCAACAGTGAATAAGGGTTCCAGTTTCTTCACAACCTCGTCAGCATTTGTCGTTTGATGTTCTGTTAAATTTTGCTATTCTTACCTGTTTGAGATGGTATTTCATAGTTGTTTTGATTTGCATCTCAGGGCCAGGGATTTTGAGCATTTCTTCATGTGTTTGTTTGCCATCTGACTGTCTTCTTTGGTGAAATGTCTGTTTATATCCTGTGCCCATTTTTCAATTGAGTTGTTTACCTTTATCTTGTTGTGGTGCTTGTGTATTTTATAAATTCTAGATATAAGTCCCTTATCTGACATGCCATTACCAAATATTTTTTCCCAGTCTGTGACTTCCCTTTTAGTTGGAGAAGTTTTTGGATGTGCATAGGGATTTGATTCTTAGATCCATTCTTTTTTGTTTAGAGTAAAAACCAAATCCCATTCTTGGGAAAGTAACACTACTGCTATTTTAATAATGTCATGTTTTCTCTACTAGTGATCCTGATTCATCCATTATAGAAAGCATTCTTAACATTCAAAAATAAAATAATATTTTATTAACAGAAGATTCTCTCAAAGCCTAAAAACTAAAGAGAAATCTTTTCAATACAATGATATTTAAATAAGGGGCCCTGATTTTGAAAATCTTTGTTAGGCTTTATGATACAGACTAAGACTTTGGCTCTGTAGACTCAGTAATACTAAATTGCCTATTGAGTTTAGTGGTTTCTTGCATCAGCTCCTGCAACTGTCCAATCTGTTCATCACGAAAGTCGTTAAGTTTTTCTTCTGGTAGAGCAATTCCAAAAGATGCTTTTTCAGTTGAATGTTGTCTGCTTTCGTTAGCTTGTTGGAATAACACTGCTGCATATACCTGGTTAAAAAAAGAAAGGAAGAAAAATGAAGACTATAAGCTAAACATAGAAGCCTCATATAACCCTGTTATATTGTACTGCTAGGAATATACCCCAAGGAAATTAGAACTGAGAGATGAACAGATACATAGACACCTGTGTTCACAGCACCATTATTCACAATAGCGAGAATATGCAAACAGCCCAAATGCCCACCAATAAATGGATAGAGACACTGTGATACACTGACATAAGAGAAGACTATGCAGAACAATTTTGTTAAATACTATATAACACAGGAGAGGAGGAGAGCATTATGCTGGGTGAACTAACTCAAGTCTCAAAAGGACAAATATTGCATAAGGCCATTATTGTAAAACAGAAGGATAACTAGTAAGATGTGTATAAATGTCCAAAAGGGGCAAAGGGGAACGGGATCGAAAAAAGGGGAAGGGTAGAAATTACTAAGATAGCAGAGTTTAGTGGGAGGATTGAAGATAAGGTGTGGGAAAAGGAAAGATTCAAAGGAGACTTGAAAAGACAGTGTAATAATAGGCATAGATCAGTGGTAATTAATTATATGGGATACAGTGTAGATGAATGACTGTATGAAACATAAAGTAAATGAGGAGTTGTATGGAACACAAGGTGTATTAATAAAACAATATAAATGAATTATTGTATGAAAAACAATAAAAATATGTTTTAAAATGAAGGCTACAGATAAAAATTAAAATAAGGCGTTTTTATCTATTTAATTGGTGGCCTAGTGGCAAGAAGCTATGCTGCAATCCAAAAGACATGCAGTTCAAATCCACAGCTGCTCTGTAGGAGAAGGATGGGCAATCTCCCCCCATTTGATTAAATGCTCCTGAAAACCCACGGAAGGGTCAGCTATGGGTCAGTTTCAACTCAACTCGATGGTACACGATGAAACATTTTTTTAAATTATGGAGTGCTTGAAGAATTCAGATTTTTAAATTAGGGCAAGTCACTTATTTTCTCCATTACTGAGTCTCTTTTTATTTGGCAAAGAAGACATAAACAATAGTACTGTCTTTTCTACACACTGATAATTTCAAATGTATCTTAATTTTAGCACTCTAAAAAACAAAGAGAAAGGATTTTAATAGACTTTAAGCAAAGTATTCATGAATACGTACAAAGGACCCCAAATCACATGCAAAATAATATGTACACAAGCATGAATGTATTTTGAGGGCTAAGGCTTCTATCTATTTTCTAAGACAGTCCTAACTTAAATCTAATCTTAATTAAAATGTTAATGTGCTAACTCAAAGTCCGTGCTCCTCCAACAGTCCTAACTCACCAGTGACTGATGGAGAAAGAGGTGCAGCTTCTTCCCATTATGATTTACCACCTCAGACACTAATTTGGTTGGTGGTACTGAGTTCGGGGGGTTTTCTTGTTTGTTTGATGAGAGAAAAAGAAACTTTCCAAACTTTTAAATTTTCACTATTTAAAAACTGCTTCTATTACGGAAAAAATTCCATTTAATGGTGTTATTTCTCTCTCCTTCAGTCAATACCTTTAGCAAAATACTCCAAATAAATCTGACTGCACAAGTGCCAGTTATTTTAAACAGACTCTCCCTCTACAATGAATCTTTCAACCAGACAGAAAATATCAACCTATATCAGTTCATGAGCTAGAAGTCTGTTTACATGTACACTTTCTGGTTAATGCTAGCACTCAACCTGGTTTGAGATATAAAAATTGCTTATAATTGGGGGATTGTCAGTGTAATCAAAGACAAGCTCCAATTTTCACTTCGGACACTCCAAATCTTTTGTTTGCACTAAACTGTTTTCTTAATATTTTACAGAAGTTATTTCTTTTCATAACAAAACAAAAATACTGCACACACCTAAAGCTAACTTTACTTCTAGATAGAAGCCCCAAGCAGAAATGGCATCTACTTCCTAAACAACATGCCTCTGGAAACTCCATGAACTTCGAGAAATGACAATAGTTATAGAAAGGCTTCGGGCCTTTCGTTCAGAGGGTCACTATGAGTTGTGCTCAACTCAAAGGCAATCAACAACTGCCATTTTCAATCGTCAGTGTAATTATATATTGGGTGAGGGAGGGAGGAGACAGTACTCTGTTCCTGCACTGTAAGATGCTGGGTAGAATTCTTGGCCTCTTATTACTAAATGCTGGTCTCATTCTGTATCCCAGTCTTGACAATCTAAAATGTTTCCAAACATGACCAAATGAGTCCAGGAAGGTAAATTTACCTCTAGTTAAGAAAACAAGGAAACTCTCACATTGATGTACAAAGAACATATCTAGAATTTCTTGTTAAAATGGCATTACTTGTTAAAATGGAGCTCTTGTGGACTAGGGGATGAGGAACTGCACGGTCAACCTAAAGATAGGTAGTTCAAATTCGTCAGCTGCTACATAGGAGAAAGGTAGGTATTTCCCCGCACAATTTATAGCATCTGAAAACCTGTTGGAAGATCAGCTATGAATTGATTCCAACTAAGTGGCAAATAACAACAACTTATTAAAACAAAAAATCAGAATCAATTTAATAGTGTGTCAATAAGAGAACACAAATACATCAACATTTATCCAAATAATGATTATACAGGAATAACAATTAAAAAACTAAATGTTTAAGGATCAACATGGACAAATCTCTGAATAAAAAAGCAGCTTTTAAAAAATTTTACAAGGATAATGCACACTTATTAAGGTAGGTAAAGGGAAAGGCAATCTAAAGTAAGGAGACAATCTGACACTTCACGTACCATAATTAATGTTCCAAGACATAATGTATATTTATGATTGAATGAAACATCAATATATTTTGTAAACTTTCATTCTAAACATAACAACAAGTTTTGCAGGGAGTTTAGCTTGTACTAACGGCAAAGTAGCTTTTATCAGACCAACCCTTCTGTGTATAAATTATAAACTCTAGACAAAATATAAAAAATAAACAAACCAGCAATCTGAAGACACTGGAGAACAACCAAAATTAGGAAAAAAAATTAAAGGAGTTACCACCAGAGATCAATTCCATGCTGAGTATATTTTAACCAAAGGAGGAGGGGAAAGATTGCTGTCAACTTAATTCTAACTCATAGTAACCTTTTCTACTGTCAAAACAGAATTGTAATTAAAAAAAAGAAAAAAAACCCAGAATTTTACTGTGTGTGTGTAAATATCTTTGTGTTAATTGTGCAGATTTCCCCCCACATTTCATTCACTGACATTATTTCATACATTCACATACATTTTATTTTATAAAATTAATCACCGTTGGACTATGTCCACTATTACCCTATCTTTTCAGATCCCACCAGATCTTTCCCTTTTCCTTTACCCTCTCCCTCTATGCATCAGATTGTACGACTCTCTGATTTCCCCCAGTCCTCACCCCTTTGCTCCCACTCCTTCGCCCTTTGAGCTCCCATACATGTTTTATTAGTTATCCTCCTATTTTCTTATGCAGTATTTATCTTTATGAGACTGAGTTCACTCAACATAATACCCTCCAGTCTCTCCCAAGTTATGTAATATTTTTCAAAATTGTTGTACCTGACTGCTGTGTATGTCCATTGTATGAATATATTATAATTTCTCAATTCATACAGTTATGGTTGGACTGCTACCTGCAGAAAATTGAAACAGTATCCATGTCTCACACCATACACAAAAATCAACTCACAGTGGATTACGGTCTGGGAGGTAAAGCCCCAAACCATAAAGTTCATAAGAGACAAACTGGGACCAACGCTTAGAGACACAGCTTATGATATAAAGAGGCTGACAAAGTCAGAAACGCACAATCAAAAACTTTTTCCAATAGGGTGAAAAGAAAATCTACAGACTGGGAAATAAACTTTGGCAATACCATTTCAGACAAAGGTCTCATTACAAAAACTTACAGGGTCTCTATAAGAAACAAACTGATAACCAGATTACAAAATGGGCAAAAAATATGGAAAGACTTTTCACAGAGGAAGATATTCAGATGGCCAACAGACACCTGAGGAAATGCTCCAAATCTCTGACAATAAGAGAGATGCAAATCAAAAGTACAATGAGCTACCATCTCAATCCAATAAAAGTGGCAAAGTTTAGTAAGGCAGCAAGCAGTAAATGTTGGCGGGGATGTGAAGAGGTGAGAACTCTCTCACATATTGTTGGTGAGATTGTAAAATGGTATAACCACTCTGGAAGGGAGTTTGGCGTTTCCTCAAAAATCTGAACATAGAAACTCCATATGACCCAGCTATTCCACTTCTTGGAAAAATCCCAAGGGAATTAGACTGAGCTACAAATGGAGATTTGTACACTAATGTTCAAAACAGTGTCATTCACCATCTCACGAACATGGAAACAGAACTGTACTCTGGAGGTTTCAATGGCTGGCTTTTTTCCCTGAAATATATTAATATATACAACTTAAAATGTAAAAGAAATAAAATTGAAGCACATTTAAGTAAAAAGAAATAAGTACAATGCAGCTCTGTTGGTCTTGCAGTAAGGAACTGTGCTGCCAATCTAAAGGCACAGATCTAATCCACCAACGGCTCCATGGAAGAAAGATGGGTGATCTCTACCCATGCAATTTACTGCCTCTGAAATCCACTGGAGGGTCAACTATGTTTGTTTTGACTGGACAGCACATAATAACAACTGCAATAATTATGTACAACTAACATTCAACTGAAAGTATTCCAAATGCTTCTAAATTTCAGATAAGTGTTTTAAATTTACCAAAGTTTCTCAAGAACTAGAAAGTTACACTGGCAGAATCTAGCCACAAGTCTGTGGAGAACTTGTGTAATCTGAGGGAGAATCTTATAATTACTATAAAGGTATCAAACTGGAACACAATTGTCAATTATTTTTGTTTCTGATGAGTTGGGGAAACTTAAATATCTTCATTGCTAAATTGAAATAAATTTTTCTAAATAAGCAAAAGGGGGGTAAAAAAGTTGTATTTTGTCCAGATCCAATTGCCTGTGCTTTGCCATCT